TTCAGTTAGATCCGTTCACAGTGATACTTTGCATGAGCCCGGCCAGGCCAGGCCAAGACGGTTTCCCTTACGTGGCGAGGAGGGCCGCTGAGCTGGCGTGGTTAGAGGAATCCGGCGGCTTTGCCCCCCCCTCGAAGGGGGGGGGTCCGCTGCGTAATTACTGATCATTCTACCTGCCGAATGGCTGACTCGCCAGTCTCAAGGGCGCCCTTCGTTGGGGTCTGGTCTACAGACCGTGGCACCGTGTTTGCTTGCTATTTGCTGTGAAACCGGAGCCACAGTTTGACAAATGTGTGATCAAACTCCTTGTCCATTGCCCCTGCAAGAGGCGAGTACGCCTCTCGCAGGGTTTCGTAGTCGTCCTTGGTGAAAGTAAAACAATGGCAAGAACGGCTCGTGCATGTAATGCGGACCTTGAGCCTGAATTGGGCCTCACTCGGGACTAGCATCATCGCATCACCAAAATAAGCTTGAGGACCGTAGACTTCATCTGCGGGATACCTCTTGGCACCTGTGTGGGAGCTCTTGGTATATAGGACAGTAACGGAGCCCTTAATGACAAATTGAAGCTCGCGTGCTGCGATACGGGCGGAATTGATTATCTGGCCACCGGAGTAGCTTGCAGGCTTTAACCGAGTCAACAGGATAGCAATCGCACCCATGTGCAGGCGTTCAATAGCAGAAAAAAAAGGGAGGTAAGGAAGGACTGAGCGATGAACATATATAACCGAAGGATTCCGAATATGGGGAGGCAAGAGATCCACAATGGAATGTTCATCAAAGACGCCACGAATGGAAAGGCAGTGGCTATGGTTCCGACGTACGCGGAGGAGGAGTTCCGAGGTGGGTGAAATATCACGGATTTCAGCAAGGAAATCTGCGAGATAGCCCTTTTCTGCCTTGCGATGGCGTTCTGCCGGATCAAGGTTGGTGACAATTCCAACAAGTATGCCAATTACGTACGCAAAGATCATCGTACCAAGAACTTGAGAGATTATGGTAACCGTGAGACCGGTCCCGTTTCCTAGGGTCGGGTATACATCACCATACCCCACTGTTGTCATTGTCGCAAATGCCCAATACATAGTTGTCAGGTATTGCGTGGTCCGCTCTTCATTCCTCAATTTTGCACTATCATCCATTTCGTCAT